CATAAAAGAGAGAAGGAAAGAGTGGAGCTCAAGAAGACTATTCTGTCCATTGCACAGTTAGGGACACTGAGCCTTAAAGGTTGAGCAGCTCGCCTGTGGTGCCCTGGATTCCAGAGACAGGAATAGAAGCCAGAGTTCCTGATTCCTGGCCTGAGGCCAGCCCAGCCTTGCTCTCTGCCTGCAGAGGAAGCTGCTAAGTAGCCGTTGCCTGTCTGAGAAGGGCCATCACATCTCCGTCCCCTCCCCAGACACCTCCCACAAGGGGCTGCGTTCCAAAAGAACCCAACCTGCAGATCCAGAGAAAGGGGAAGTTCTCTCCAAACGTGGCTCACAAAGCCTTGGAGGTAGGCACATCGTGTGACTGGAGATGGTGGAGCCAAGTAGTGGTACCTGTGCTAAGGCCAAAAGACAAGGCCACCGAGTCCCCCTTCTCCCCAGGGCCTGAGTTCTCCTTTGACTTGCTGCCTGAGGCACGGGTTATTCAAGTGACCATTCCTCCAGGCCCTGAGGTCAGTGTGCGTCTTTGCCACCAGTGGGCACTGGAGTGTGAGGAGCTGAGCCGTCCCTTTGATGCCCAGGTATGGAGGGCCATCTGCCTTTAAAAGCCAAATCACACAGGGCTGGAGTGAAAGGACCTACCCATTATACAGATGGGGAGACTGAGTCCCAGAGAGAGGTGGTGATTGTCCAAGACTTCCTTACCAGTCTGAAGTGCCTAGCATGAAGACTTCTTTGGTCTAGGCAGAGAACGCAGGGGGCCTTGTCTCCTGGCAGGAGAGGAAGGAAAGGGCAGGCAGAGACCTGGGGCAGCCATGAATGCCTAGCAGAGAAATGGATATGGCACTTACCCCCCAGTGAGAGGACCCTGAGTGAGATACAGCTTGCATTAAGAGGACTTTTCAGTTCCCCCAAGAAGCTGTTCTCCTGAGAAAATAACAAAATGGTCACATCTGTCTTGGTACCCTTCCATCTCCCTCCCTTTTGTCACTGCTCCTCAGAGAATGAGATGTCCCTTATTCTTCCAGCCTAGGCCCTGACACTCCACCTCAACCTCCAGTTGTCACTGATGCCCTTGTATACAGTTGGTACCATTTGAAGGGACTGATGCTGTACCCGAGTCCCTCAGTTCTCCACATTTAAAATGGCAATGATGCCTCCCAAGATCACCATGATGCTAGCACTTAATTAATTGAGTTGGTGCTTCTAGCACCTAGCACCCTCCCTGGCATATAGTAGGGGCTCAATAGATGTATATTCCTTTCCCCATCTCCTCCCCACTCCCCTCATTCCATATACTGAGACACCTAGAGCAGATGGTCAGATTACAGGGCAGAGACCCCCTGAGAAGAAATTTCTCAGAGAAAGAAACGTCTCAGATAAGAGGAAAAGTAGGGTATGTGGTGACAAAGGTCCCAGTGTTCTCCTGCCGTTTTCCAGGGTGCCTCTGCTCTTTCTCAGGCCCCTCTTCTTCTCTTCCTTTGCTGCTTTGTCCACAGAAAATTGTGTCTGGGGGCTGCACTGTAGACCTGCCTTATGAATTCCTTCTGCCCTGTCTGTGCATCGAGGTGAGCAGAGGAAAAGGTGTGGGTGGTCCATGGCTTCACTCCTAGGCCACCCAGATAGCACCATTGGTCAAGCATATCTTCACTAAGTCAGGTTTTAAAAGGGCTGGTGTTAACGAGATGCTAGGGAAGACTGGTGCCAGCCTGACAGTGAGCCACACACGGAGCCAGGGATGGAGGTGTCCTGCTGACCATGGCACATTCCTGGGGGGTGAGTCCAACCTCAGCCCCACCCAGACCCAGCTTGCCTTTGTCGAGACCCGGCCTTAGCCCACAGAGGCGGAATAGACAGCTGCCTTCCCTGGGTGTTCTGAGCTGTCACAGTGGGGGCTCGTGGCCCCTGCAAGGCTCCATATGGCCCCAGAAGTCTCATCCCCACTAGCCCTGCGTGGAAGTCCTCCTCTCCTTGTAAGACTGAGGTGCCTAGCATTGAGACTCCTTTGGACTAGACAGGAAAGGCGGGGGTCTTGTCACCCAGGAGGAGACAAAAGGGAGGGTGCAGGCAGAGACCTGGAGCAGGGAGCACCTGCCAGGGGGATAACACTGGGTGTTGGGCTTTCAGAGGGACGGGCCCTAGGGGGCACTCAGTGCCTTAGGAATCGCTGAGAGTGGAGGCCAGGGAAGGCAAAAGTTGAGGAATGTGGACCTCATGATTTGCCTCTTTGTGGGGACACATTCTCCTCTCCCGGAGAAGAGGACTCAGCCCCTCACCCACTGATCTTGCTCCTATCGTCTGGGGTTCCTCCCTGAGGGTCAAGTGCCACCCCACACTTCTTCCCCTGCTCGGTGCCCTGCCAGCTCAGGCAGCTCGCATCTGGGCAGGGTCAAGCCGGAATGAGTTTCGAGTCTGAGTGATGTAGGGGAAGCCATTCCTCGGACCCTTCTTCCCTGCTCCCCTGTCCCCACAGGTGTCCTACCTGCAAGAAGACACTGTGAGGCACAAAAAATGTCCCTTCCAGAGCTGGCCTGAAGCCTGTGAGTGCTACTCATGTGGATCTTGTGCATGCACAGCTTCTCTCAGTCTCTCTCTCCCCCACAAACGTACATGTACATGCACGTACACACACACGCACTTGCACACCCTCTACACCTGTGTTGGAGGAAGTCCCCAGGAGGCATGCCGGCCCTTTCTCTGGAGTCAGTGGGGTAAGTCATGGGCTACCATGTCTAGCAGTCAGCCTGCCAATAAATCAGAGCCCTGAACATTGTACTAGCACTGTTCAGAAATATCAGAGATATCCACCCCAGGAGGTAATGTCCTACGAAGGTGGACCAGAGGACCTGGGCTCACATCCCAACTCTGCCACTTATTCTTCTCTGAGCCTCAGTTTCCTCATCTGTAAACTAATGATACTTGCCCTGCCTCACTTTCCAACTCCTTATGAGGCTGGAGTTCAATATTATATGCGAAAGTGGTTGGTGACATGCATGCATATTGTTGAGCCCAAATTGCAGAGACAGGATTCTCAAACATGACAAACGCATAGCTCAAAGTATCCTATGGTCCAGGGCAGGGTTGTAATTAAGGAATAGGCTGTAAGGCGTGAACTCAGGGGAGGGAGAAGCCCATGATGGCTGTCCGTGAGTAGAAAAGGTCTCCTAAAGGGAGTGACATCTGAGCTGGGCTCAGAAGATGCACAGGATTTAGAAAGGAGAGAAGGGAGGGGAAAGCATTCCTGATTCTGAGAGGAACATAAGCAAAGATATGAAGATTTTGAGTTTGGGGAGCAGCAAGGATTTGGCCAGAATGGAGGTGCAGGAAGGAGAGGAGACAGCTAAATAGAAGAGGCAACAGGAGGGGCAGGAGGAGGCATGCTCGTTTATCAGGCCCCTAGGCAGACCAGGGCTGTGCCAGGCTCCCTCACAAATATCATCTCCCGATGCCCTGGGGATGGGGCTCAGGCCTCCTGGGCCTCACTCTCTGCCCCTGCTGCCTGCCCAGATGGCTCGGACTTCTGGGAGTCGGTGAACTTTACTGACCACAGCCAGCACAGTCAGATGGTCATGGCCCTGACACTCCGCTGCCCACTGAAGCTGGACGCCTCCCTCTGCCAGAGGCGGGGCTGGCACAGCCTCTGCGAAGACGTCCCCAATGCCACGGCTCGAGAGTCAGAGGGGGTGAGACGGCCTCCCTAGGACCTGGGTGGGCAGGGCTGGGGCCCAGGGCCCTGCTCCCTAACTCCCTTCTCCCACCACAGTGGTATGTCTTGGAGAAGGTGGACTTGCACCCCCAGCTCTGCTTCAAGGTACAAGCAACATGGGAGGGGGAAGGGTGTGCATGGTGCCTGGAGCTTGCTGACTTGCCATTCTTGGATTTCTCAGTTCTCTTTTGGAAACAGCAGCCACGTTGAATGCCCCCACCAGACATTCGGTGAGCCAATAAGTGACCCTGGCTGGGACCCCTTCCCACCATTTCACCCTCATGCAACTGCAGCAAAGCCAAACTCTATCCCTGCCGTGACTTCTCTGTTAACTGCAGCCTGGCTCCTATCACCTCCCACAAACCATCATCTATTACATGATGCCCTTTCCTACCCCCTGGCAGGCCCATCCTGGAACGTGAGCATGGATACCCAGGCCCAGCAGCTGGTCCTTCACTTCTCCTCAAGGATGCCCGCCACCTTCAGTGCTGCCTGGAGCCACTCAGGCTTGGGGCAGGACAGCATGGTGCCCCCTGTGTACAACGTCAGCCAGGTATGGCCTAGCCAGGGCTTGGCCCCCACTGGAACCTGTTGATTAGAGCACAGCAGGTGGAGGCAAACAAATCTCTTACAACATCTGGTTATCTATTAACTTGGCCAGCCTTTGTTCAGCTGCCTCCTCTGCCAGTCATTGGGGTCTTCGATGGAGCAGTATCTAATCCTTTTCTTTTTTTTTTTTTTTTATAAATTTATTTATTTATTTTTGGCTGTGTTGGATCTTCTTTGCTGTGCGCGGGTTTTCTCTAGTCGCGGCGAGTGGGCTCAGTAGTTGTGGCTCACGGGCTCAGTAGTTGTGGCTCACGGGCTTAGTTGCTCCGCAGCATGTGGGATCTTCCCAGACCAGAGCTCGAACCCGTGTTCCCTGCATTGGCAGGCGGATTCTTAACCACTGCGCCACCAGGGAAGTCCCTCTAATCCTTTTCGATTTTGAACCTACAGGGATAAACAGAGACAAGAGACTGGCTCTCCCACTCCCAGCTGTTCTCTGGCCCACTCGAACTCCCACCACATTTTATATTGATGCCCTCTCTTGAACCAGCTGTCCTCTACCACTACTCTCCTGCCTTCCTCCACAAGGCTCCTGGCAGAAGTTCTCTATCTTTGGGAGGCAGAGCCCCAGGAAGCTGAAGTGCTCTTCACAGAATGCTGTAAACTACTGACAGATTTAACTCTGTCATGTGAACTAACAACAGTTTGAGTAGCAGACTCTCTTCTGTGTATCTGACATAAAAACCACCATCAAATATATCCGCAAAACCACAGCACCAAGCTGACTAAGCATAGCTAGCTTGTTTCAGTTCTTCCTTACTTACATGCAGCTTATTTATTTGTTTTGTATTCTGTGTGGGCTCCCAAGCCTACAGGTGGTAGGAAATGCTTAAGATTTAAGACGAAACCATGCTTAAGATTTACGACAAAGTCATGTGGGATAACTTAAAATTGAGAGCTGAATCCATGGACTCATTTATTTTTGTGAGCTGAGAATGTCATTGAGTTTAACCATGATTTGAGAGCCACTGCATCAGCACCTGCTCACAGCTAGCTGGAGAATGGGGTCTGGGGCAGGGCTGGGGTATGGGGTAGGTGGTGGAGGATGTTCCCAAAGGGTGGAGACTGATCAACTCTCTAACCAGCACCCAGAGCACAGGGTGAAGCCACATCCTTGCCTGTAGACAGATGGCAGTCAGTTCAGCATGCATTTATTGAGTGCCTACTCTGTTCCCACTCTGTATTAGGCCCTGGGAGATACAAGAAAAGTATATAACACAGTCTGCCCCTAAGGAGTCCATAATGTAATAACAGCTACTACTACTACTAAATGAATACACATTGCACTGTGTATTTTTTAATATTTATTTATTTATCTTGGCTGTGCCGTGTCTTAGTTGCGGCACATGGGATCTTTTAGTTGCAGCATGCAGACTTCTTAGTTGCGGCCTGCGGACTCTTAGTTGCGGCATGCAGACTTTTAGTTGCCTGCATGCAGGATCTAGTTCCCTGACTAGGGATTGGACCCGGGCCCCCTGCATTGGGAGCGTGGAGTCTTACCCACTGGACCACCAGGGAAGTCCCTGTACTTTGTATTATAAAGGGGGTTCACCTGCATATTCCCATTTGATGCTTTCAGTAACCCAGTAAAACAAGGATTATTATCTATCATACACAAATGAAGAAACTGAGGCTCAAGGAGAAAGGACGTCTATCTCCATGCAAGGATCCCACAGCTAGGAACCACATAGGCAATAGTTAAGCCTGACTTTGTTAGCTGTGGTCTCCTGACTCTACAACTTACGTTCTTTCCAATGGACAAGCTGCCCCTTCAGGTGTGCAGAACACAGAAGGGAGGCAGCGTATAATTAGCCTCCTGGTTTGTGAGCTGCTAGAGGACAGAGACAATGTCCATGCCTGCCTTGTCTCCTCAGGGGCTGGCACAGAGTAGGCACCCAGAGTATGTTTGTTGACGAGTGCCTGATTGCCTGATTAATGTTTATCTGTGCAGCAGTTCAGATCTGGGAACGATCAGCAGGATCTGAGAATGAAGCCTGGGAAGGCTTCTTGTCAGGGGTGGCACTTGGCCCTAAGCCTGGGTAGGGTTTGGGTAGGGGTGGTGGGTGGAAAGGAGGAACACAGCAATGGGCAAAGACTCAGGGGCTGGACAGAGCCAGATCTGCCTCTATGGGGACAGTCATTCTGCTCTTTTTTCCCACAGACTCAGGGCTCAAGCTCAGTGACACTAGACCTCATCGTTCCCTTCCTGAGGCCAGGAGGCTGTGTCCTGGTAAGGAATCCTGCCCTCACTCTGCTGCCTATACTCCCCCGGTCATCTATACCACAGGTGTGGCAAATCCAGCCCATAAAAATGTTTGACTTGGCCAGCACGGTGTTCAAAATTGGAATTAGTTGCCACCACTTAAATATTGGGAGATGTCACATTTTAAAAAGTTGATTTCTGGCATCTCTTGAAAAAAATCAGAAAACCTGGTGCTTTGTTTCCACATTCAGGCATGGTGATCATGGGCTAGAGCTCAGTGGTGTCTGATCACTTCAGTCAGGGCCTGTGCCTTCCACGTCCTCATGGATGCTCTGGTTAACTTTGGGTTTACTTTCTTTCTTTTTTTTTTTTTTGATGTGGACCATTTTTTTAAAGTCTTTATTGAATTTGTTACAATATTGCTTCTGTTTTATGTTTTGGTTTTTTGGTCCTGAGGCATGTGGGATCTTAGCTCACTGACCAGGCTTGAACCCGCGCCCCCTGCATTGGCAGGCAAAGTCTTAACCACTGGACCGCCACGGAATTCCCTGGGTTTACTTTCTGAGTTTGCCACTCTTGACCTTGTTCTGTGCCCAGCCAGAAACCCTGTGCTGGAGGAATTCCCTATCCAGGGGGATTCCCCTTCACTATCCCCATGCCTTATTCAACTTCCCCTGGGAGGAGGGTTTACCCTGGCTTACAGGGATTGGGGGGGCTCTGTGCCCTCAGGTGTGGAGGTCAGATGTCCAGTTTGCCTGGAAGCACCTCCTGTGTCCGGATGGTGAGTTCTTGGGAGGGGGAGGGGGAGTGAGAGGGAGGTTGGGCACTGAGGAGCCGGGCTTGGCCTCACCCTGCTTGACTCAGTCTCTCATAGGCTCCTGGGGCTCTTGATCCTGGCACTGCTGGCCTTCACCACCCTACTGGGTGTTGTTCTGGTGCTCACCTGCCAGCGCCCACTGTCAGGTAAGCTCACTGGGGGTAACCTGGGGATTCAGACTTCCTTGGCTCCTAGGCCAGTTGCCCCCATCCCTCCCCCGCCCAGGCTCCCTTCCGAAAGAGCCTTGTCCCTGCCGCTGCACCCCCCTCTCTGTTACCCAAGGCGGTGAGCCTCATGCCCCCTAGTGGGGAGGAATGGTTAAGGCAGGGCAAAGGTCCTTCTGCAGGTGGTTCACTGCACCAGTCTCTAGGCCAGACGCTAGGGGGGCGGAAATCCAGCCTGCGCTGCACCTGGCGCCCTAGCCCTCTCCTCTTCCTGGGCACCTTTATCTAATTAGCCCAAAGGCGCCCTATAGACCTGTAGGCTAAAGCTGCCTTGGGTACCCATCCCCAGCGCAGATGAAGAAAGGGGTGGGGGTGGAGTTAACCCTATCATGTAGCCCTGAGGCCTGGGAGGAAGGGGCTGGGCTGTCCCTTAGCCCCCACCCTGTTCATCTGTTGCTCCCACCCCCAGGCCCAGGTCGAGCGCGGCCGGTGCTGCTCCTGCACGTGGCGGACTCCGAGGCGCAGCGACGCCTGGTGGGAGCGCTGGCTGAACTGCTGCGGGCCGCGCTGGGCGGCGGACGCGACGTGATCGTGGACCTGTGGGAGGGCACGCGGGTGGCGCGCGTGGGCCCGCTGCCGTGGCTCTGGGCGGCACGGGCGCGCGTGGTGCGGGAGCGGGGCACCGTGCTGCTGCTGTGGAGCTGCGCCAGCCCGAGCCCCGCCGGCGGCCCGGATGCCCGCGCCGCACCCCTGCGCACCCTGCTCCGCGCCGCCCCGCGCCCGCTGCCGCTGCTCGCTTACTTCAGTCGCCTCTGCGCCAAAGGCGACATTCCTCCGCCCCTGCGCGCCCTGCCCCGCTACCGCCTGCTTCAAGACCTGCCGCGCCTGCTGCGGGCGCTGGACGCGCGGACTTCTACTCAAGCCACCAGCTGGGGCCGCCTCGCGGCCCGGCCGTGCCTGCGGGGTCGTGTGGAGCTGTGCCGCCAGCTGGAACGCGAGGCCGCCAAACTTGCCGATCAAGGCTGAGCAGAGCTCACCGCAGTCCAGATGTCTGTGGCCGCAGGCCTAGGGGCACTGGCTGGAAGCCCCGAATGAGGCTTCTACCTTGGAATCGTTGGATGCCTCCTAGGGGCCACTGGCCACAAAGCCTTACGCAACCTCCCAGCCCGGGAGCAGGGCATCACACTCACTGTCCCAGCCCGTTCCCCACGTTCCCCCAGGGTCCAGTCTCTTCCTCATGCTTATGCTTGAGGGTTCTCTCCCTCAGAGCCGTCAGGGAGAGTCACTGTTTCCTGAGAACTCCTCTGACCTCAGTGCTGTTGTGGGTGGGGGATCGTCCCACTTCCTCTCTCCGAAATTCCAGAGAATATTCTGCACGTGCTCCAGTCCAGGCCAGAGAGGTTGGGACAGGGGTTGGGGAGGCAGGAGACATGGCAGCTCTGAGTGGGAGGTGGCTGCAGAGGGGGTGGGGGGACAGAAACCCCTTTGGGAGCCAGGGGTCCCCCTTTTCCAGACCGGGGCCCTGCCCAGAGTGGGAGGAAGGGAGGGAGGGAGGGCTCTGGACCCAGGGAAGGAGGCTTTGGCCCTGGGTGATGGGGGCAAAGGTGGGACAGTGGAGACTGAGATAGAGAAAGTTGAATAAAGGTGAACATGATGGATAAACTAAGAAACACAAGGTGCTTTTCCAGTGTGCCCAGGGTGCTGAGTTGGGGGAAGGGTCAGCAAGACCCTGCCTGGCTGTTGTTATGCATCATTTTCTGGGCCCAAATCCACATCCATGTCTGTCATATTCTCACAAGCAATGTCTCCCTGCAAATTTCCTTGATCCTCACTGTGATTCTTCAGAGAGAAGAGAAGAAAACACAGGTTCAGAAAGGTGGTGTGGGGCCACAGTCACGCAGCCAGCCCATGGCAACAGCACAAATAGGACCCTGTCTTCCTGGCTCTGGGTCCTGGGTCCCATCCACCCCTACCCCTCACTTGAGCATAGGCCGGGAAGTGGTGAAAAGCTCACGTTGCGGTGCCCCTTGTCCTTAGAGATCGTGTCCCACAATGAGGCCCAAGGGGAATGTCTGAAGGGACCTGGGGTGGCCAGTAAGAGGGGCCCTGTGGACACCAAGATCCCAGAGTCACATGGGAAGTGCAAATGCCCCAGCATTGCCTAGGGCCTTGGTTGTCTCGATGGAGCCTTCCTCTTTAGGGACTCCCAGAGTGAGTAAGAGCTCCCTCACTCAGCCATTAGGCCACCACCCTCTCCAGGGGCCCTTCCCAGCCAGGTGTCAGCAGAGAAGGAGGAGGAGGGGAAAAGAGCGAGGGAGGGAGGCCACCACTCCGGTCCAGGCTGCTGGCTCCCAGGCCTGGTGTTGGTGGGAGGGACAGGGCGGGGCGGGAACAGCCGGCTGCCTGCCAGGAGCCAAAGCGAAAGCACTCTGGCAGGACTGGACGGGAGTCAGGACTCCTGGGAGAGGGTGTGCGCAAGCGGCCCAGCGCCGGGACCCCGAGACTGGGGAGGGGTTCCGGCCCCTCCTACCCGCAGGCACGCAGCTGAGTGGGAGAAGAGGTGTGGTGTCAGCCCCCCTTCGGGGGTGGGGCAGGACAGGGCCTCAGGCCTGGGTGCTGCCTGGCACCTGGAAGATGCCTGTGCCCTGGTTCTTTCTGTCCTTGGCACTGGGCCGAAACCCTGTGGTCCTCTCTCTAGAGAGGGTTGTGGGGCCTCAGGACACTGCCCGCTGCTCTCCGGTGAGTCTGGGACTGTAGGAGTGTCGAGGAAGGCTCAGGGCTCGGTCTGAGGCCATTGAGGCCCTAGCCTGGCTCCTGCCGCTGCCATCACTGTCAGAACTGCCCTGGCTGGTCTGTCGGGTGCTGATGGGGTAAGAGAAGAATGGGGAGGGGGCAAGAGCTGGGCCTGAGCTCTTCTGGGAGGGACTTGGAAAAGGGAGCTCTAGAAAGAGGTAGGCGGGTGGGGGGGGCCTCAGGAAAAGATGGTTAGATTTGGACGTATAAACTCTAACTTGTCTTTACCTCCTTCCCAGGGCCTTTCCTGCCACCTCTGGGGTAAGTAGCCCTACTTTTAGAGAGGGAAGATCTTCCCAGGTGGGCAGAAGGGAGGGGAGCTGTTCAGTCCCATGCCCTCACCACCTACCCTCAGCCCAGGAAGAGCCCAAAGCTCCTTGGCCCTCTGGGGTTGTCAGGTGCAACCAGATTCTGGGTCTGAGAAGCTTCAGCTCCCACCCCACCCTTCACACAGATGGTGACGTGCTCTGCCTGCCTGGGAGCCTTGTGTCTGCCCCAGGCCCCGTGCTGGTGCCCACACGCCTGCAGACAGAGCTGGTGCTAAGGTGCTACAAGGATACCGACTGTGACCTCTGTGTGCGTGTGGACGTCCACTTGGCTGTGCATGGTGAGCCTGTCATCCCATGACTGGGCATTGGTGCATGTGAGTGTGTCTGGAGTGGGCACGAAGACCAGGGAGGGTGTCTGTCAGGAAGCATGGGGCATCCTCAGTATTCTCCTGGAGGACACTGGCCAACGGACCCCCCAGGTCAGACTGGTCTCCCCACCCACACCCCTGGCCTCAAGCCTGGCCTCCACTTCCTAGCACTGAGCTTCCTGGAAGGAACCCAAAGCCAGAGCTGGGGCTGGAACTGAGCCTTGCTCTCGGGTCATTCTAGGGTACTGGGAAGAGCCTGAAGATGAAGAGAAGTTTGGAATTGCAGAGGACCCAGCGATCGAGGAGCCTAGGAACGGTGAGGAGAAGCCGGCTGGCCCAACTGCCCCTCGCCAGAGCCTTGCCCAGGGCCCCTGAGCCTGACCGACCCCCTGCCCTGTTGCTCACAGCCTCTCTCCAGGCCTACGTCGTGCTGTCCTTCCAGGCCTACCCTACTGCCCGCTGCGTCCTACTGGAGGTGCAAGTGCCTGCTGCCCTCGTGCAGCCTGGTCAGTCTGTGGTATGCGAAATAATAATGAATTTATGAAGTGCTTTCACGTGCATTATCTCTTTAGGTCCTGATTCTAGCAGGGCTGTGAGCAAGTTCTTTCAGTCCTTTATGCCTCAGTTTTCCTGTCTGTAAAGTGGGAAAAAGAACAGTGCTACCTCGGGAGTTCTCTGGTGGTCCAGTGGTTGGAATTCTGTGCTTTCACTGCCGAGGGCCCGGGTTCGATCCTTGGTTGGGGAGCTAAGATCCCACAGGCCACCCGGTGCGGCCAAAAAAAAAAGAATAGTCCTACCTCATATAGCTGTTGTGAGAATAAAATGAGTTGATATGTATAAAACACCTGGTATAATACCCAACATGGAAGAGTCTCAGAAAGTTTAATTTTTCCTTTCTTTTATAATCCTCAAAACTACCCCCATGAACTAGACATTATTATTGCCCTCATGCTCCAGATGGAGAAGCTGAGGCTTGCAGAGGGGAGGTCTGTGGGCTGAATCCACTTTTCCGGATTTCCTGCCATACTGTCCGTGTCTGCCCCACATGTACCTTGTCTGTCCCCCCGCGAAGCTTCTCCCAGCCTCAGGGGGCTGCTCATGGTTGGGATATGTATCTCCACTTGGGCCAAGTCACTCAAACTTTGACTTCCCTCCTGTCCCCAGCCCCCAGCCTATATCGTCTTACCTGGAAAATAATGGGAGATCACCGGCTGGTCCCCCTCACAGGGCAATCATGAGGCCCACTGAGGCACTGCGAGTGAGAACGACTTCTGTGGGGAGGGCCTCCCACATTTGTACTGGGGTCTGGGGTCTCTTATCACCTTAGCTTTGGCACGTGACCTGGAACAGCAGGGATGAGGCAAGGACTAATAGAGTGGGGGCACTAATCCCGGCCCTGCTGCCACCCCTCCTGAGGCTGTGTGCTTTAGAACTGGAGGCCTTTGAGGACGTGTTCGCAGCAGAATTGGGGGCCATACAGTATGAATAGTCATTGGTTGGGAATAGGGCAGAGGGTGAGTGGAGCAGACCATGGAGATGAGCCTCAATTTTGAGCCCTATACCACCAGCCTTCCGCCACCCTCTCCTCACAGGGCTCTGTAGTATTTGAGTGCTTCGAGGCTGCCCTGGGGGCTGAGGTGCGAATCTGGTCCTACACTCAGCCCCGGTACCAGAAGGAACTCAATCTCACACAGCAGCTGCCTGGTAAGTGGCCCCACAGCCTGAGGGGCCCCAAGTGCTGGCCCCTTAGTCTCTCTCCCCACCGGCCACTGCCCTTCTGCTTTTACCCCCTTCCTCGTCCCGGCTGCTCTCAGGCACTCTCACTCCCAGCCGCCCATAGTCAGTCCCTCATGCCTCCTCTCCCCAGGTGACATTGCTTCCCAGTGTCTGGGGAAGGTGCTTTGGGCACTGGAATAGATATGGGTGGTATTGAGGGGACAGGGAGCCCTTCCCAGGGCACCCCATGGGTCGGATTGCCCCCATTCTTTCTTTGCCCCCAACCCCACTAGAGGCTTTTCTGTGATCTCTCCCCAGACTGCAGGGGTCTCGAAGTCCGGGACAGCATTCAGAGCTGCTGGGGTAGGAGCTAGGGCCAGCAGGGCTGGGAGGAGGGTGGGGGTGGGTCTGGAGTGTGAGGGACCCTTGGAGTGAACTTCAGGTCTGGCTGCCACATCCCAGAGGCTCACAGAGCTCATTTATTCATTCATTCATTTATCACAAAAGAACTGCGGTAGCTCTTACTCAGTGCCAGGCATTTAGAATATAAAGGTGAATCTCTCACTTCTTAGAACAAATATTTATTAGTACCAGGAACATCTAGTGGCCCAAAACATTGTCAAGATTACGGTGCACCCCGCCCCCATATATTAAAATAAAAATAATATTAAGTCATAAAATAAGGGCTAAGAAACTCAAGGTTCTGATGATTTTTCTCATGTACTATTTGGACTTTGTTTTGTTCATATTTTTGTTTTGTATTTTCTTTTTTATCATGGTATAACATACATACAGAAAAGTGTGTAAAGTGCACCAATTTTAATGTCCAGTTCAATTAATTTTTACATATGTATACACTTGCATAACTACCAGCCACATCGAGATAGAAACTGTGATGCTTTTGAACTCAGATGGTTTCATTTTCTATTTGGGTTCTTAAGCTTAAGCTTGATGCCTCTTTGGTAATTCATTAAAGACTACTCAGCACCAGAGGTTTGAGGACACAGATATACATCATGGATTTCATGTCTTTATTCATTTGGTAGACACTGATTCACTTATTCAGCAGATATTTATTGACTCATTACCCTGCTCAAGGAATAGCCCTAGGCACTGGAGACAAACCAATTAAAAAAAAAAAAACCAACTGACAAAAATCCCTGCCTTCACAGAGCTGATGTTCTAGCTGGCAGTCAGGGTCAGGGTGGGGGTGATGGAGGACACAATAAACACATGGAGATGTGAAATATGCAATAAGTTAGATGGTTATTAGTGCTCTGGAGAAATTTCAGGGAAGGGGGATAGAGAGGTTGGGAGTTGGAGTGGTCAGTGAGCAAAAGACCTGAAGGAGGTGAGGGAGGAGCCATGGGGTATCTGAGGGAAGAGGGTTCCATGTGAAGGGAATAGCCAGTGCAAAGGGCCTGAGGCAGGAGTGTGTCTAGTGTGTTTGAGTATTAGTAAGGAGGACAGTGTGTCTGCAGCAGGTTAATTAAGGACAAGAGTGCTAGGAAATGAGGTTAGAGTGTTCACAGCAGCCATACTGGGGAGGGACTTGCAAGCCACTGTAATGACTCTGGCTTTTACTTGGGGTGATGTGGGGGCCATCAGAAGGTTCTGAGCAGAGGAGAATGATTTATTTTACAGTGGTTACAGGTACTTCTGGCTGCAGAGGGAGAAGCAAGAAGAGCCCTCTCCAGACCCCATACTGGGGCCTACATGGCTTCAGTCCTGGACTGTGGCTGAAGTCTGGTCTGACATGGAGACACAGGCTCTGCCCTCCAGGGGCCTCCTAGTCTAAGGGCTTTGAAGGAAACTCCAAAGGGGCAGTGGGTGGGTGTGACCCAGGCTTGGGTGTACAGAAGAGGTGAAGGAAATCTCTCTCTTTGCCTCCTCCGCAGCCCTGCCCGGGCTCAACGTGTCTGCAGATGGCAACGACGTGCACCTGGTGCTGGACGTCCCTGAGGAGCAGCGCTTTGGCCTCTCCCTGTACTGGAACCAGGTCCCGGGCCCTGCAAAACCCTGGTGGCACAGAAACCTGGTGAGGCGTCCCCCTCCCCAAGTCCATTCCCGCTGCAGGCCGATGCTTGTGCTAAAGTTGCCAGTGCATTATCATAGGGCAGCTTTGAAAAGGACACAGCCACCCACACCCAAAGCAAGGAACATTGGTGGGGGAACGGCTGCCTGCCCGGTGTCCTTAACTTTGGCTTCCAGCCTTCCTCTTCCTCATCTTCAACTTCTCTCCTTCTGCCTCTCCCACAGACTGGGCCGCAGACCATTACCTTGAACCACACAGACCTGGTTCCCTGCCTCTGTATTCAGGTAGGAGCAGAGTCCAGCTGGGAGCCCGGGCACAGGGATTAGGGAACTGGTGAGACGGTTGGCCCTTACCTTCCTGGTCTCCCCACCCTCCACACTCCTCTTTGAGATGGAAACTATGGCTCCCTAGGGGGACTGGCCCTCCCTTGCACTTTGCTGTCCTATGTTTTCTGCTTGTACATATGCCCTGAATGCTCTTCGTGATCCTCTATCCACAGCACTTCTTCCTGTGCTTCACGGCCCCCTTCAGATGTCATCTCCCCCTTGAAGGCTTCCACTACTCCTCCAATTCCTTCTTTGTGCTCTCCTGGAGAGTAGAGCGTGCGCTGAACTCAGACTTATTTGAATCCTGACTTGCCATTTGCTAGCTGTGTGACCTTGGACAAGTCACTTCACCTCTCTGAGCCTGTTTCCTATCAGTAAAATGGGAATAAACAGTACCAGCCTCACAGGGCTGTTATAAGGAAGTGTGCCACTTCCAGCTTATATATGTTATAATAGTATATTCTCCCTCTGATTATACATTTAATTGGTCATCAGGTCCCATCTGTTTTACCTCTGACATTAATGTCTCTCATTCCCACTACCTGAAATGCCCTCACTTCTTTTCTATACACCCCAATCCTTCTTTTCCATACCCCTCAATCCTTCCAGTCACCTCTTTCCCAAAGCTTTTGTCCAACATCCTGGCCTCTTCTGTCTCCAAATTTTCTTGCATTTCTGTCTTTTCTTTTCTATTTATCATTTATCACTTGTTTTCTTATTTGGGCACCTGTCTCTTCTTGCATACCACATATTCTCAATAAATGAGTGATTGATTTATTAATTTGTATACATTCTTATCCTTACTACAACTGTGAATTTGTAATTTCCATGAAGGCAAGGAAATGATATCTATTCTAATTTAGTAATTTCTCCAGAGCCTTGCATAATAACTGGTATGTAGTGGATGCTAATTAAGTTTGTTAAGTGAATGAATGAGTGAATGAGTGAAACTCTACTGCCTAGCACAGTGATAGGACATATAACAGACACTCATGAAATGTTTGCTGTGATATAAATGTCCTCACTGCCAAGCCCAATGCCTGCTACATAGTAGGTGCTCTTATACATTTGTTGTATAAATTATTATCTCTAGTGCTTTAGAACAGGGCTAAGCCAAGAATGGGTGCACTTAAAAAGTCTATTGGGTACTTCCCTGGTGGCACAGTGGTTAAGAATCCGCCTGCCAATGCAGGGGACACGGGTTCGATCTCTGGTCCGGGAAGATCCCACATGCCATGGAGCAACTAAGCCCGTATGTCACAACTACTGAGCCTGCGCTCTAAGAGCCCGCGAGCCGCAGCTACTGAAGCCTGCGTGCCTAGAGCCCGTGCTCGGCAACGAGAGAAGCCACCGCAACGAGAAGCCCGTGCACCACAATGAAGAGTTGCCCCCTCTCGCCAGAAAGCCCGCACGCAACAATGAAGACCCAACGCAACCAAAAAAAAAAAAAAAAAGGTCTATTGGAAGAAAAAATGGAGAATAAATGGACGTGTCCTTAACGCTGTGCTGAGAACTTGTGCTAAGTAGGTTCTCACAAAGTGATTGTGGATTTAATTGTTAAAAGTCCCTATGCCTACCACAGTGCTAAGACACATAGTAAGTACTCATTAAAACTTTGTCGAGTGAAGATGTTGCCAGATGTTGGCATAGGGCTTGCTGGAAGAATAAATGTGTGCAATTCTAGGCCCTTGTAAAGGGCAAAAAGACTTGAGCATATGTTGGTGAAATACATCCTCCTTCCATATCCAGTATCCCAGAGGGATTAGTTCCAGGATCTCTGTGGATACCAAAATCTGCAGATGCTCAAGTCCTTTATATAATATAAAATGGTGTAGTATTTACACATAACCTACTCACATACTCCTGTATACTTGAAATCATCTCTAGATTGCTTATAATAACTAATACAATGTAAATGCTATGTAAACAGGTTCCTGCAGGCAAATCCAAGTTTTGCTTTTAGCAACTTTCTGGAATTTTTTTCCCCGGAATATTTTTGATCCGAGGATTCAGAACAGCGAATATGGAGGGCCAAGGAGCACTGACTGTATGGGTTGAGTGAATGCATCCCCAGGGCTCAGCAGAGTGCTGGCTGGGTTGAACTGACCTGTGGAGCCCCGTTTCCTTTCTAGGTGTGGCGTCTAGAGCCCGACTCTGTCAGGACCAGCATCTGCCCCTTTAGGGACGGTGAGTGGACCGGCTCTGCCAGGGCGGGAGTGGTGCGGGCAGGACCTGCTAGCACGCGGTAACCAGACCCTCTCCCTGCAGACCCCCGTGCACACCGGAACCTTTGGCGTGCCGCCCGGCTGCAGCTGCTGCCCCCGCGGGCCTGGCGGCTGGATGCGCCGTGCTCACTACCCGCCGAGGCCACACTGTGCTGGCAGGCACCGGATGGGGGCCCCTGCCAGCCGCTGGTCCCACCGCTGCCCCGAGAGAATGTCACTGTGAACGTAAGCGAGGCGGCAGGAGGTTCCCGGGGTTGGGGAAGGAAGGGGAACCTAGGGGCCCAAATTTAATGACCCCACCCATTACCCTCTTTCCACAGAAGGCTCTTGAGTTCCCATTGCTGAAAGGCCACCCCAACATCTGTGTCCAGGCAAGAAAGGGGTGCCAGAGAGCCAGCCTTGGGGTCAGGACCTCCGCGGACTCCCAGACAGTCACTGTCTTCTGAATCCACTTTATCCTTGGGTCCCTGGAGCAAAGTGGTTACCAGCTTCCTCTTTAGGGGTTCCACTATTTACTTTACCGGTGCATGGCGCAGGACCCTGGGCACTTCACCTCTCTGAACATCAGTCTCCTCATCTGTTTAATGGGGATGATAATAGTAACTATTGAATACTTCATAGAGTGGTTATGAAGATTAAACAATGCTTTGTCTTAGCAACGGGCACAAACTAAATTCTCAGTAAATGTTAACTGCTTTGATTATTGCTATAATTATCCTATTTCTCTACCTGTAGAAATGGGTTGCTTTATAACTTCAAAGGGTAGTTATAAAAATATTAATTCCAGATTTACTGAGCTATTATGTTTCAGGTACTGTTTTAGGCTCTTGGAACAGATATGTCAGTGAATAAAACCAACAAGTGTTCCCACCCTTAAAGAGTTCATGTTGTAATGGAAAAAGGCAGACAATAGGCATAATAAGTAAATGATACAGTATGTTAAAATTGTAATATAAATACTATAGGAAAAGGTGGGGAAGAATAAAGGAGGGTTGGAGTTGCAATTTCAAGAGGGGCAGTCAGATGAAGCCTCTTTGAGAAGGTGGTTAGGTGAGAAGGGAGTGTATAAAGTGTTCTGTCAGAACTGAAAAGCGTTAATTTATGGCCGTAAGGCCCTTTAGCACAGATGACCTCACAAGGCTGAGGCTGAGAAAGATGGAGTGATTCCTAATTACTCAGCCTTGAACCCAGTTCTGCCTAAGGTCAAGTCCAGAGTCCAGACCCCGCTCCCCAACCTGACAGGCCTCCCCTTGTCTGTCCCTTCTCTTCTGGTTTTTCTGGCTTCAGTTTTTGCTTTTCCTCGTGCCCCTAACCCTGGCCCCTTCTGAGCAGGTGAGCACCTGGGAGAAGCAGGAGCTACAAGAGTGCTTGTGGGCTGGTGAGTGGGACCTGGGGGAGGCTGGGGCAGGGCCACTGCAATAGGGGTGGACCCTGGAAGTGCCAGCTCCTGGGGGTGAAAGTCAGGCATGGGGCAGGGGAGTGGCAGCCCTCAACCAGGTTGGGTCTCACTCAGAGTGGGCTCTCACCCTTTCCAGACTCCCTGGGGCCCCTCAAGGATGACATGCTGCTCGTGGAGACACGAGGCCCCCAGGAAAACAGATCACTCTGCGCCTTGGAACCCAGTGGCTGCACTCCACTGCTTAGCAGGGCGTCCACGGTGAGGGATGGGGGACCCTCCTTCATGTCCCTTTCCAGCTCCACTTCAAACCTGGCCTCAAATTTTCACTATTCAATTTCCCCTCCTCTGTGCCAGGCCCTGTGCTGGTCTCTGGGAATGTAGGGGTAACTCAGACCTGGGCCTTGTTCTCAGTGGCCTCTCAAAAGTCTCCCAGACCCTCCCCCCTACTATTCTGCCCAGCTGTAGCCTGGTGGCCTCCTAGGTGTGGTGCCTCTAGGTGACAGCACCCATCCCTTGGCTTGGCAGAGGGCAGCTCGTCTTGGAGGGCCGTTACTACAAGATGTGCAGTCAGGCCAGTGTCTTCAGGTGAGTAGGTGGCAGGAGGGCCCTCCCCAGTGCCCAAAGGCAACAGGCCGCAAACCCTGTCTTCAACCTCTCCTACCTCTTTCTGTGCCTATAGCAGGAAACCTGTCACTCTTCAGGGGCAGGGGCCTCCTCATTGCCCCGCTAGCATCCACCCACCATCTGTGTGCGCTCATTTTGTGTCCAGCCCCGGGGAAGCTAAGAGTTGAAGCAGCATAGTTCCTGTCCCCAAGTTGCTCATGGCTGAAGAGACCAGCAAAGAGATAACCATTGGGTTAAGACAGCTAATAACCAATGTGCTAAGCTTTGGGTTCCAGGGAGAGCTTCCAGGAAGGGCCTTTTCACGTGGCCCAATCTGGCACCAGTAGCAAGGTACAGTCCAGGAAATAGACACAGCATAAGCAAAGGCAGAGCAGCTTGTGGCTGCTGTGTGTGTGTGTGAAATATGCATAGCTGAGGCTGGAAATTTGGGACCAGACTTGATGGGTGTTGAATACCAAGCTGGGGGCTCTGGATTTGGTTTTGTTTGTGTCTTACAGCTGTGGGACGATGACCTGGGAGCACTATGGGCCTGCCCCATGGAAAAGTGTGAGCATTACAAGAACTGCCCTTCTCTGTACCAGGAGCTGGAATGTTGACAGGGACCATTCCTGGGGGGAGCATACACAATGGGCTTAGCCTTTCAATCAGAGGGTCATTCCTTCATTAATTCAAACACCACAAGGGGCGCTTGCAGGGATCCCAGCATCACCAGAGAGACACGTTCCCTGTCTCCATGCCAGCCACAGAAGCTAGAAAGACATTAGCTAAACAGTCATTTAGGAAGTGTGGGCTATTGAAGCATTCACTATAAAAGTGTCCAAAGCCCTGAATGCATATAATGGGGACCTGACCTAGTTCAGGGGAAAGGTTGGAGGTGAACTCTGAAGGCTGAGCTAGATGAAGGGGGAAGAGATGCATTTTTGTGAAGCCTCTGGGGTGCTTTTTTGAGGAACTCCAAGGTAGCCAATGTGGCTGGAGGGTCTTGAGAGATAGGCCTCTGTCATGAGATTAGGATGCAAGGGCCATGTAGGGCCTTGGGAGCCGATGTAAGCAATTTGGATTTTCTGTCAAGGGTAGCAGGAGCTTCCCAAAAGGCTATAATCAAATTTGTATTTTTTTAAATAAATTTACCTATTTTTTATTTATTTATTTTTGGCTGCATTGGGTCTTTGTTGCTGCTGTGTGCGGGCTTTCTCAGCTGTGGCAAGCGGGGGCTACTCTTCATTGAGGTGTGTGGGCTTCTCATTGTGGTGGCTTCCCTTGTTGCAGAGCACGGGCTCGAGGAGCGAGGGCTTCAGTAGCTGTGGCATGCAGGCTCAGTAGTTATGGCTTGTGGACTCTAGAGCACAGGCTCAGTACTTGTGGCGCATGGGCTTAGTTGCTCCGCGGCATGTGGGATCTTCCCGGACCAGGGCTCGAACCCGTGTCCCCTGCATTGGCTGGTGGATTCTTAACCACTGTACCACCAGGGAAGCCCCCAAATTTGTATTTTAAAAAGATCTCTGGGGGTACTTCCCTGGTGGCACAATAGTTAAGAATCCGCACACCGCAATGAAGAGTAGCCCCCTGCACGCCACAACTAGAGAAAGCCTGCATGCAGCAACAAAGGCCCAACGCAGCCAAAAATAAATAAATATATTAAAAAAAAAAAAAAAAGATCTCTGGGGCTGCCATGTTGTAATGAATTAGAGGCAAAAAAGAGTCAGAAACACCAGTTAGAAGGCTGTTGCAGTCATCCAAGAGAGTGAGGTCAAGGGTCCAGCAACCCTAGGCTTAGGGGGCAATAATATTTTTTTTAAAAAACATTTATTTATTTATGAGTTTGGCTGCGCTGGATCTTAGTCGTGGCACGTGGGATCTTCACTGTGGCATGTGGGATCTTTAGCTGCAGAGTGTGAACTCTTAGTTGGGCATGTGGGATCTAGTTTCCTGACCAGGGATCCAAGCCAGGCCCCCTGCATTGGGATCACAGTGCCTTAGCCACTGGACCACTAGGGAAGTCCCTTAGGAGTCAATAATCTTAGCTGACATTTGAGCACTTAATATGCCCAGCACTCTGTTCAGTGCTTTATGTGTACTAACACATATAGTCCTCACAGCAATCCTGTGAAGTAGATATTATTGTTATCCCAATTTGACAGAGGTGAACTGAGGCAGGAAGGGAAGTCACTTATCCAAGGTCACCCAAGTAAATGGATCTATGTTCATACACTGACCCTGTGAGCTGGGGACTTCGGGCAAATCCCTTCATTTCTCTGAGCCTCGTTTTTCTCCTTCGTGAAGTGGGGGGTCTCTAACAAGCCTGTCTTCTCCCCTGGGTCTCCTAGACATCCACCGGCGCTGGGCCCTGGTCTGGATGGCCTGCTTACTCTTGGCCGCTGTGCTTTTTCTTCTCCTCCTCCTCAAAAAGAACCACGTGAAAGGTGAGCGCTTCCCGGCTCCCCATTCCCCAGGGGCAGGACTCGAGTGGACCTGGGAGCTGGCCAGGAGAAGGCGGCGGCTGGGCTCACCGGCTGCCCCCCCCCCCCCCTCTCCCCTCACAGGGTGGCTGAGGCTCTTGAAGGAGGACGTCCGCGCGGGGGGTGAGTGTGAGCCAGCTCCGGGCGGGGGGCGGCCCCCAGAGGGCCGGGCCTCGGGCCAGCTCACGTCTCCGCCCCTGCTGTGTTCTTTTCTACAGCGGCCGCCAGGAGCCGCGCGGCTCTGCTCCTCTACTCCGCCGACGACGCTGGCTTCGAGCGCCTGGTGGGCGCCCTGGCTTCGGCGCTGTTCCAGCTGCCGCTGCGCGTGGCCGTGGACCTGTGGAGCCGCCGCGAACTGAGTGCGCAGGGGCCCCTGGCCTGGTTCCATGCGCAGCGGCGCCGGACCCTGCAGGAGGGCGGCGTGGTGGTCCTGCTCTTCTCGCCCGGGGCCGTGGCGCTGTGCCGCCAGTGGCTGCAGGACGCGACGTCGGCGCCCGGGGCTCACGGCCCGCACGACGCCTTCGCCGCCTCGCTCAGCTGCTTGCTGCCAGACTTCTTGCAGGGTCGGGCGCCCGGCCGCTACGTCGGGGCCTACTTCGACAGACTGCTGTCCCCGGACGCCGTGCCCGCCCTGTTCCGCAGCGTGCCGGTCTTCTCACTGCCCTCACAGCTGCCCGAGTTCCTGGGGACCCTGCAGGGGCCCGCAGCCCCCCACCCCTGGCGGCTCGCGGAGAGAGCGGAGCAGGTATCCCGGGCCCTGCAGCCCGCCCTGGACAGCTGCTTCCGGGCCCCGGGGACGGGACGCGGGATGGGGCCTGAGGCAGAGCACAGGACTTGAATAAAGGCAGACGCTATTTTTCTACCCGTGTCTCCCACGTGTGTCTCAGTGACCCAGCCGCTGGGCCGAACTATCCCCGTATCTGGTGTCCCCGCGCCCCTTTAACACCCGGACAGGTGCAGGACGGCGACGCCTCTGGTTGGCTGGCGTCGGGTGACGCAATGGCACATGGCCCGCTACCATTGGCTGTGGCGCGGGCTCCGCCCCCCGGACTGCAGAGCCGGCGGAGGGCGCACGTCTTACGCAGCCGGCGGCAGCGGCGGCGTTGAGGAGGCTGAGCGTGTGGCGTCCGCGGGCTCGGTGGGTTGTCTCTTCCTCCTCCGCGGCCTACGTGGGTCTGGATACTTCCTTGCCCGCTCGGGGGCCGTGCGTTTCCAGTCTGCAGACCCCGAACCTGACCCCTTCTCTTGGTATCCGGATCCGGGCTCCTCCCCCCTCCCCCAGACCGGGGTTCCGGACTCCTCCCCCCAGGACCGTCCGTCCGACGTCTTCTCCCGCAGTATTTAGGAATCTGATCCATTCTCCTTAATTCCGCTGATCCTCCCATAGGAGCCATATCCCGACCCTAAAACAATGGGCTGGCTCCTACCCCCTTGCCGAGGATCCAGGCCACCTCCCCTCGCGGTGACGAGGATAACTTGTTCCCGTCCAGGAACTGCAGAATAGGCTCCTTTCCCCAACTATCTCCCCTCCCTCTGCCTTACCCCAGTCTAGACCTTCTTTTCTAATAACACAGATCTGGGCTCCCAGACCCGCGGCATCTCAGAACCCACGCTTTTCTTTCCCACTTGGCCTCTCCAGCGAACCCTGCCCATGTCCTGTGTCTACAGGTCCCCAGTCTGGGAAATGATGGCCCCACGGGCCCCGAGGGGCCTGGCCCCAGCTCTGCTCTGGGGCCTGAGCCTCTTCCTTGGCCTCCCAGGACCGGTCTGGGTCCAGCTTTCTCCGCCTCCCAAGTCTTCTTCCCCCACTGAGCCCCATCCATGTCATACCTGCCGGCGACTGGTCGACAGTTTCAACAAGGTGGGTGCACCAGCAGTGTAAGAGGAGGGGGCTAGCTACTATTAGCACAGGGGTTGAGAGCTGGGAGCTCTGGCATACGAGTCTCCATAGACTCAAGTGTCCCAGCTTGGTTACTTACTGGTTGTATGGCCTTGGGTAGGTGCCTCTCTGTGCCTCAGTTTCCTGGTCAGTGAAATATAAGTGCTAGAATGTGCCAGACACTGTACTTAGCTATTACTAGTTTTCTCCATTTCCAGGGCCTGGAGAGAACCATCCGGGATAACTTTGGAGGTGGAAACACTGCCTGGGAGGAAGAGAAGTTGTCCAAATACAAGGACAGGTAAGGAAGAGGCTGGAGGGGTGGATTTGTGTATCTAACATCCCAATCTGTGCTCTGCTGGTGGAAGCCTAGAGACACTTGGGGAGCACTTTTTCAACAAATGTCACTGAATATCTATAGGAGAGCACTAAACAAGCCAAGCAGAATTCTTTCTTCAAGGAGCTTCTCTTCCAGTAGAGGGAACAGTGAATAAGTAAGTAAATAATGTCTTATCAGGTGAAGAACAGTAAAGCAGAATGGTGGGAGGCATGGCGTTCAAGGTATGACATTCGAACAGAGACCTGAGGTGCAGAAGCAAACTGTGCGACAGTCGGGGAGGGGTTTTGGACAGAGCGGGCCTGAGCTTGGTGTATTTGAGAAGTGGCTGGATTTGGAGTGAGCAGAAGGGAGAGTGGTGGAAGGTGAAGGCAGAGAGCCTTGAAGGCCGCAGAAAGACATTCAGATTTCGTTCTGAGTGTAGCGGGAAGTCATTGGAAGGTTTGGAGCAGGAAAGTGATGTGGTATTATTTGTACCTATAAAAGGTCACTTACACTAACAGACTATAGGGGGCCAAGATGGAGGAGCAGGAAGACCAGTTGGGAGGCTAGTGCACAGTCTAGGCGTGACGGTAGTGGTGGACCTGGTGAGAAGGGGTCAGATTCTGGGTATATTTTGCAGATAGACTGATAGGACATGATGATGGAATCATTATGGGGTGTGAGAGAAAAAGTAGAATAAAAGGTGCTCACTAGGTTTTGGGCCTGAGCAACTGGGTGAATCGTGGGACTGTCTTCCAAGATGGGAGAATCGGGTCTGGAATCAGACGTTCTCATTGAACATGTTAGGCTGAGATGTCTGTTAAACAGTCAAGTAGAGTTAGATTTAGGAGTCAGGAGTTCAGGGTAGAAGCAGGGCTGGAAACATGAATTTGACAGTTATCAGCGTATAGTCAGCGTATAAAGGCAGGGGACAAGATGAGATTTTATTGAGAGGAGAGGCCTGAGTCCTAGGCCCTCTAGCTTTTCAAAGTCAAATTGGAATTAGACCAGGTTGTCATTTCTGACCCTTTGTACCTTAGGGTCACCTCTCTGATCCTCAATTTCCTTATCTGTAAAACGGGAGTATTAATGCCAATCCTATTTCGTAGGATTGTGGTAAGGATTAAACTATGATACATCCTAGAAATAAAAGTTTCGTTATTACATAACACTGGTCATTTTCCTTTCTCTCAGTGGGGCTTAGTTGCCTCATTTGGGAATGAGGGGATTGACCAAAATAACCCTAAGGGCACTTCTAGCTCTCTAATGGTTACTGTTTTTTTGTTTTGTTTTAAATCACCTCCTATATGCCAGGCACTGTGCCAGACCCTTTAAATGTATAATATAATACATTTTATGTGTAAATGTATTTTTAAAAAAAATTTTATTGTGGTAGAATGCAATAACATAAAATTTACCATTAGAGATATTCAGTATATTCAGGTTTTGCAACTATTGCCATTATCTAGTTCCAGACTGATTTCATCCCCCCCAAAAGAAACTCCATCCCTATTGAGCAGTCACTCTTCATTCTCCCTCCTCCCAGCCCTTAGCAACCACTAATCTGTTTTCCATCTCTATGGATTTGCTGATTCTGTTGGAATCGTGCAATATGGCCTTTTATGTCCGGCTTCTTTCACTTAGCATAATGTTTTCAAGGTTTGTCCATCTTGTAACAGATATCAGTACTTCATTCCTTTTTAAGGCTTAGTAATATTCCATTGTATGAATAGATCACATCTGTTTGTCCGTTTATCAGTTGATGGACATTTGGGTTGTTTCTACCATTTGGCTACTGTGTATAGTATTGCTATGAACATTTGTGTACAAGTTTGAACACCTGTTTTGCATTTTCTTGGGTATGTATCCAGGAGTGGAATTACTGAGTCATGTGGTGATTCCATGTTTAATTTATGGAGGAACTGCCAAATTGTTTTCTACAGTGGCTGCACCGTTTTTCATTCCCACGTGCAATGTAGGAGGGTTCCAGTTTCTCCACATCCTTGCTAACACTTGTTATATGATATATTTTTAACCACATCTACCCAGCAAGGGTATTATATTCTGTTGTACAGATGCAGGGACTGAGCTATCTTCCAGGCAACTTGGAGGAGAGCCATTGTCCCCATTTTACAGATGAGAAAACACGTTCAGGAGAGGCTAAGTTACTTGCCGAAGGTCATACTACTAGATTGGAACCCAGGTCTCCCCAAACCAATAACCCTTCCATTGTGGCCTCTGGCCTTTGACATTATCTGGCATGAGGTGAGGAGGGGGGAGATTGTAAGGAGGGTGGTGGGTGGGCTGGAGTGTGTTCCTACCACCCATCCCTGTCTGGTCAGCGAGACCCGCCTGGTAGAGGTGCTTGAGGGCGTGTGCAGCAAGTCGGACTTCGAGTGCCACCGCCTGCTGGAGCTGAGTGAGGAGCTGGTGGAGAGCTGGTGGTTTCACAAGTGAGTAGCGGGGGCCTTCCTGGGAGGGGCTCAGGCAGGGCTGCCTGGTAAAGCAGAGGGTGGCGAGCTAGGGGCTGTGTCCTCATTCAGCTCCTTCCTCCAAACCCAGGTGTGCTGAGGACTTGCTGGGGGGCCCAAGCTCTCACTCTGAGCTGCAGACTGCCCCTCTGTCGGACGGGGAAAGGGCAGCCTTATGGGTCTTATGCCCAAGATGGGCTGTATCACAGATCCTGTGGGAGGTTGCGGGAGACGGCAGCACCTCTGACACTGTCTCAGCCCCCTCACCGTCCCTCCGCCTCAGGCAGCAGGAAGCCCCAGACCTCTTCCAGTGGCTCTGCTCAGATGCCCTGAAGCTCTGCTGCCCCTCAGGCACCTTTGGGCCCTCCTGCCTTCGTGAGTTTTTCAAGTTCCTCTTGGGGGATGGAAGGGGACTGCTGGGGCCAGGGATCCAGTCCTGGCTCGGCCCCTGTCTGGCTGTGTGAGCTCAGGCTGCTCGTATCACTTCTCTGGACCTCTGTTCTCGCCTGCCTCACAGGGCTAGTGAGATGAACAAATCCATGGGGAACGGCTCTGAAAAAGGATATGGGGTTAGACTGAGTCAGATGCGGCCGTGGTTTCTGTCATGTATTTAAGAAATGCCCCCCCTCACCAGGCATTTCCCATGTCTGGACTAAGATGACCTTCCTAGGGACGGACAGGTGCTGCTGAAGGCCCTGTTGTCACCACCTTTTTCTACACACAGTCCTGAGGCAGGAGCTGAACTTAACTACCAGCCCCTTTTAGAAAAATCTCTCTCAAAGCTGCAGATGTAAAGAGCTAGCAACAAAGATGGTCAATTCAGTTTTTATAAAAAAAAAGATTTGTAAATAACCTAACTGTTCCACAATGGGGTGTTGGTTAACTGAATTTCATACAGTTTTATGATAAAATATTATGATGTCATTAAAATTGTTTCCTCTCCAAAAATGCTTACTAATATGGGGAAAATATTCTGTACGTACAAGGTTGTATTTACGATCCCACCCGGCTTGGTGTCTGCCCACAGCCTGTCCTGGGGGTGCGGAGCGGCCCTGCGGTGGCTACGGGCAGTGTGAAGGGGAAGGAACTCGAGGGGGCAGCGGGCACTGCGACTGCCAAGCCGGCTATGGGGGTGAGGCCTGTGGCCAGTGTGGCCTCGGCTACTTTGAGGTGCAGCGCAATGCCAGCCATCTGGTATGTTCGGGTAGGTAGTCAAGAGGCATGGCTTTGGGCAGGGGCGTGTGGGGTACCTGCCTGCCCACCCTCATACTTCCCCCATTCTACCCAGCTTGTTTTGGCCCCTGTGCCCGCTGCTCAGGACCTGAGGAATCAAATTGTTTACAGTGCAAGAAGGGCTGGGCCCTGCATCACCTCAAGTGTGTAGGTGAGTGGGACCCTGCCCTAGGTCTGGAGGGGTGGGCAAGGTCTTGGGCTTGGTCCTCCATCAACATACACATCTCTGGGCTAGACCAGTCCAGTCCCCATCTTCATAGAGATATCAGCCTGGTTGGGAAGGCAGAAAAGTAACCAGGCACTTACAGTATAGACTGATCGTTGTACAGTGAGAAATGTCTCTCTTCCAGTTCAGTGGTAGTGGGGAATCAGGGAAGCCTTCTTGGAGGAGGTGTCACTTGGGTCAAGTCTCGAAAATTGAAGAAGGGTTAACCCGGAGAACGAGCATATTGAACTTGGGGTCAGGAAACCTGTGTTCGAGACGAGGGTAAAAGCTAAGCTGCTGTAACAGAAAGATCCCCAAAGATTGTGGCTTAATGAATTTAGAGGTTTATTTTCATCTCCTATCACAGTCTGGAAGCCAGTGGTCCAGAGTGGCAGAAAAGCTCTGCTTGTCATAGTCATTAAAGACCTAGATTCATTCTGTCTTACTGGACAGTCATCCCCTTGGGTGTTGAGGCTGGATCACGGTCACCTCTATGTATCATGACCTGGTATTCAGGAAGTGCAAAAGAGAAGAAAGTGCACGGAGGATCCAAGTCTGTTGTATTAAGGCCAAGTAAAAAGTGGAGCACATCACTTCTGTTTACAACACGTTGGCCACACTTAGCTGCAAGGCAGATTGAAAAACACAGTCTCTAGCTCGACAGCCCTGAGTCCAGCTGCACCTCTGCATCTGTGTTGGTGGACAGCCTGCAGTATCAGCCACACTGTTTAAGCCTGGGCAAGTCCATTCCCAACAACCCTGGCCTCAGCTTCCCTGTTAGTGAAATAGGGATTGAAATCCCCACCCTGCTGGCCTCTTTGCAGACATTGATGAGTGTGGCACAGAGCGAGCCAGCTGTGGAGCCGACCAGTTCTGCGTGAACACGGAGGGCTCCTATGAGTGCCGAGGTAACTGTCCGCTCCTGCGGGGGAGGGGTGTGGGGAGGGTAGAAGGAACTGCTCCACGCCTTTCCCCCAAAACTGCCCTTTGCCCCAAAACTGCCGCTTTCCCAGGTGCTGGCACCGCCCCCCCGCCCCGCCCCGCCCTAGGCCTCTTGTGGAGCAGGGCTTCCCCCAGGCCTATGGGCAGCTCGCACCCTTGTCTGTCCTCTCCCTTCTCCAGACTGTGCCAAGGCCTGCCTGGGCTGCATGGGGGCAGGCCCTGGCCGCTGTAAGAAGTGTAGCCCTGGCTACCAGCAGGTGGGCTCCAAGTGTCTCGGTGAGTGTCCTGCCACCTGGGAGCGCCTCATCCACCACAAATTGACAGGGGCCGAAATGTGGATGGGGCGTGGGAAGGAAGGGTGGAATGTTGCCTGGGTCAGCACAGAGCGGGTGTCAGGATGTGAGTGAGACCAGAGTCAGGGGTGCTGCCTGTGGGACCCTGGCGGTCAGGGCTCTGACCTCTCCTTGGCTTCCATCAAGACGTGGACGAGTGTGAGATGGTGGTGTGTCCAGGAGAGAACGAGCAATGCAAGAACACCGAGGGCAGTTACCGCTGTGTCTGTGCTGAGGGCTACAAACAGATCGAGGGCATCTGTGTGAAGGAGCAGATCCCAGGTGAGCCCCAGCTTGGCCCCAGAAACCTGGGGAGGGGAGGTCCTCATCCAGGGGAAGGGCAGGCAAACCCCTCCTTCAGGCAGCTGCAGGCCCTGGCCCACCTGCACTGCCACCCAGCCCTCATGAGGTTGCACTGGGACCCGAACCCCACCTCTGACCCCCAGGGTGACTTCTGGTGACCTCACACCTCCCAGGGTAGAAAGGAAATCGGACTTGGCGTCAAATCATTCTGTGCCCGCCAAGCCTCTTTCTTCATCTGCCCTTGCCCTGCCTGAGGGCTCTTGTAGGCCGTGGGGGTGATGAGACGAAGGACAATCACAGTGATGACGATAGTGACCACTTCCACAGTTCCTGTGTGTCACACGCTGTTCCAGGCATATTGCATGTATTAACTTATTTCACCCCTAAAACAAATCCAGTGCTGTAGCTATTATTCTCATCCCCATCTTGCATAGTGGAAGCAGGGACGCAGAGAGATGAAAAAACTTGTCCAGGGCCCCATGGCAAGCAGGTGGCAGAGCTGGGCGTCACATCCAGGCACTCTGGCTCTGCAGTGGGGCTAGTACACATGCTCTGACCCAACTCTCCCACGTGGCCTTGGGCAAACCTCTTCACCTCTCTGTGCCTCAGTTTCCCATCTAGTAAGACAGGGATAATAAATGCCCGTCTTGGAGTTGTTCTCAGCAGTAAATGACACTGTATGCTGGCGTGCCACGCAGGCGTGTGGCAGTGATGATCAGGTGTGTGGGAGGCTCCAGGAACAGGGGATGAGTGACGGGCGCTTCTCTTGCCCAGAGTCAGCAGGCTTCTTATCGGAGATGACAGAGGACGAGCTGGTGGTGCTGCAGCAGATGTTCTTTGGTGTCATCATCTGTGCACTGGCTACGCTGGCTGCCAAGGGTGACTTGGTCTTCACCGCCATCTTCATTGGGGCTGTGGCAGCCATGACCGGCTACTGGTTGTCAGAGCGCAGTGACCGTGTGCTGGAGGGCTTCATCAAGGGCAGATAATCCCTGCCACACCTGCAGCATCTCCTCCTGCCCAGGCTGCCCCCAAGGTCGGGACTCTCCCACCTGGACACTTGAGGCACTTGCTTTATTTTTGAGTGCGGTAAGCACCCTCTACCCACCTTATGGAGCAGCGCAGACACCTGGGCCTGGGCAGGTGAGGCCCTTGGGTGAAAAAGTAGCCCTATAGGTGGGTGCCATGAGATCTTGGCCTTGGGGCACTGGTCAGGCTTCACAGTGTTGTGAATTTTTTTAAAAAGTGTCTCCTCATTGTGGCTGCTCGTGAGCTTTGGCCCCTGCCCAGGATGTGGGGGGAGGGTGTCCCTTCACACCCCCCTCCTGCCAGCTGCATGCTGTCAGCTCCTGTTCTGTCCTCACCCCCTTGCCCCTCAGCCACTGATTTATTTATTCATCTCATCTCAGGAAATAAAGAAAGGTCTTGGAAAATGGAGAAGCTTGTCTTACTACCTGCCCCCACCCACCATGGGTTGGCCTAAGCTACTGAGAGACGCTCCACCCTTGGGGAAGTTTCCTAAAACCCTGGGAAACTGAGGGTATCCTGATGGAGGAGCAGCAGCAGGAGGACAGAGGAGAGGGTTGGCCCTGAAGCAGTGTTAAGAGAAGGGAGATGGGATGGAGGGACCAGGCTCACGAGTGGACCTTTCTCAGTTCAGTACCAGCTATCATTTGCCAAAGGACCCTGACAAATGACTTTCATCTCTGAACTTCACTCTTCTCATCTATAAAATGTGCATGATAACGCTTCTCACTCAGGCTTAACGTGAGAATTAAGGTGATGGATGTGAAAAGCTGAAGACAGTGTACAGCAGACAGATGTTCCATGAAATATTGATAGCCATTATTTCTAAAGTCTCCAAGGGTTGAGGGCCCTTTCCTTTGGAAGTCCTCCCCTCCGCAATAAACACGGGACTTGAAATCACTGGGGGTGGGCATCTCCTCTAAACAGGATCCTGGCATGGCCGGAGGGAGGCTTGAGCCAAGTCCTAAGCGTTTATTTCTTTGGCACAAAGAGGACAGTCTGGACAGTCGAGCCTCATCTTCACACTGGAGAGTCCGGATGGGATGTTAGGGCACCTGGACCCTGTTCCCCATTCCCAAATACGTGCATGTCCACCCTGTATTCCGCATAAGTCATGGCCTCTGTGCAAAATACCCACTGAAAAATAGAGATATTTTAAAAAACAAAAATCTGGGGGTGGGGGTGGGTTCGTGTCCGGCTGTCTCCGGAGGCTGCAATCAGTTGGGGCCCAGGAATACTCCCGGAATGTTTTTCAAATGCTCAGCATCCCAGAAGGTCATGCCGCGGTAGGGCCATCGAGGGCGGGGCCCTGGTTCTGAGTTTCTGGACCCCCTCAGAGCTCGATGGTGTCACTGGAGGCGCTGCGGGAGTCCCCGGGCTTGCATTGAGGCTGGATCCCATTCTGGGGCTCCCCGGGCCGGGCGGGACCCAGGGCAGGAGCTGGGGCAGACAGTAGCTGCACCGTGCTGGGCAGCTCATCCAGGGGCAGACTGTCCATCGACGACAGCCCGTGGCGCCAGGGGTTCCAGCTGATCTTGAGCGAGCCCCGTGAGAAGCTGTCCACGGAGCTGCCGGAAGCCGCCCCTTCAGGCTCGTCCGCTACATGTGGTGGGACCGGGCCGCGCACGCGCACGTCGCTGAGCGACCGGCTGCGACCGCGGAGGAGCGAAGAACCTGCGCCGTCTAGCTCGGCGTCGGGGTGGCTGCTCCGGCGCGGCCGCAGCGCGCCCCCGGGCGGCGGGGAGGCCAGGCCACGGAGGCCGCAGCGCCGGAAGATGCTGTCTCGCACCAAG